CCGACGACCACAACCACCACTACTGCAAAGGCGCCACTACCGCCTTCACCGCTCGTTCATCAGCCACCAGTATGTGCGGCAGCGGCTGTCCATCACTCCATCTGATCGCGAACGCAATTTTTTTTAATTTTTCCCCGAAAGGACAATAATAATACGCGGCGGCGGTACGTATACACACACACACACACTAACAACAATAACATTCATCTATAGAAATATATACATAATATACCTACTCGCGCATGAATAATATATTACGTTCCTTTATCTCTTCTCCACGTTTTTCTCCTTTTTGTTATTGTTTGTTTTTTTTTTTTGCATTCCCGGACAGACGGTCGCGTTGAAAGAGTATAATAATATTATCATCATCTGCTGCTCGTGCCACCACCACAACACTAGTGCACTATTATTAATAACAATAATACTAATATTAATAATATTGTTATTTATTTAATAGAATATCAAATATTATTGTTACACATCTCTGATATACGCCGCTGTCGTGTGCACAGTATTTCCGAGTTTCCAACGTTTGTCGTCGTCTGCAGTCCATTCGTCATCTCAGGTATCATCACTGTTGTCTCAGCCATCGCCTCACGCGTCAACCAATACAGCCGCCAGAACAAAAGAATAATAATTATTAATACCTACATCGTTCATTTGGGTTCACTGTTTAAAATCTCTATCATACTAAGCACTGCTTCTGGACAACGCGTGCACTCGTGTAAACAGATCTTTCGCGAACCTGACATGGTCCACGACCACGTCGTTTGTCCRGCCTTCCGGGCTGCAGTCTCCCTCATCTGAATTAGTCAATCGATCGTCGTGATCCTTGCGACCAGTTGTCGATGCTCACTATGGCTTGCCTGAACGTGTTGAAACAGGAGATCAAAGTCATCGAGTCTACGTTCCCCAAAAACCACGACCGGTTCCAGGTGCATACAGCCACCGTTGACGAGGTAATATGCAAGTTTGTTGGCCCCACCGGTCGACAGTTCGAGATCATTGGCAACATCACGGTAAGCTTCCCCGAATAGACTAAACTCCATGCATGTTCATCTTTCTGTCATGTAGTACACTTTTACCAGTTCATTTTTTTCTTTTTATTAATATGCTAAATTGTTTTCAGGAAACATATCCCGGCACTCCACCTGTCTGGTTTGCTGATACCGACGATTGTAATGTGACCAATGCTATCGAAAAGCTAGGTCAGACTACTGGACTCAATAATCATGTGAGTGACATCTATTTGTCTAATTCTTAATCAACATACTATTTTTGAGGGCAGTTATAATACCATGATTTTTCTATATGTATCAAATACCTAWATCAAGATATACATTTGATGATCTCTCTGACATATGTTTTTATATGAAATGTCAAAAACAACTAATTATCTAAGTGTATTTTGTAGTAACAGGTGAACATATTSGTTCTTGTACTACAAATACTTTATACCTATTTACTTTTAGAGTTAATGTCGAACAATAATTAAATGCTTGTAAAGCAAATAACTATGTACAAACTTATATGTTATACATTCTGATAAAAAATAAAATATCTAATAACACATATCAATATAATTTATATATTGACCAACAGTTTTCTTTTTGTAATTATTACTAATTCATGTTATTACTTTTTTCAATTTATAATATTGTTTTTTTCATAAAAGAATTATCTATCTATATTATAATATTGGCAACTAATTGCTGGTAATTTATTCAAATATAAGTATTTAATTTTAGTTTTTTTTTTGTAAATATTTACTGAGTACTGTGATGTTTTCCTGTTAACCAATACACGACATCACAAAAAAACATGTAGGTACCTATAAAAAATAATTTAAATTATCTATGACAATAACATATATCAAGAACTAAGGCTGTGTTAAGCTTTTTGGTACCCAATGGCACTAATAGGAGTTGAGAAGTCACCAACAGCAGTTTGTCAAGCTCGAGGCGCCCTTTGAGTTTACCAAATTGTGGGAAACCAGGGGCAAATTCACTCCCTTWACGCGGCCCTGTGAAGAGCACAAAAATGAAACTGATGAACTGAGTATCTAAAATTKTATGACTTTGTCAAAGAATTAATATTATAGTCAATATTTTGATCTATCTGCTTCTATTTATTGAAATTTCTTTAAATAATACCCCCTATGGAAAAAGAGAAAAGCAAAATTATCTATTGTTCTCTTGTTCTTAATAATATTACATAATGAAAAAATAGCAGTATATTATTTTGAAATAAAATGGCATTAAATATTTTTAATTCATTAACATAGTGAAGATGAAGTACACTCTTGTTAAAAATAAAATTTTATTTGTATTAGTCTATATTATAGAGTTAATTTTTAAACATAGTCTACATTTATCCTTTATTTTTCAATAAAACTTTCACTAAAATTTTACTGATTAGAATATTTACTGCAGCTGTACCAACTGTTATATATTTTGATACCATATAGTCTTATAAACGATGGTATTATATCCAGGAAAATAATTATTATATATTTTTTTGTTTGATTTAGATGCCTTTTTTTGTGCATTTATACTCTGCATTGAAATTATTACTAATATATAAATTATATACTTTAGTTTAATAAACTAAGGATGGGACAAACTTCAGCTCTTGTATACTTAAACCTTATTTAAACTTTTAAAAATAATATACTATAACAACTTTAAAAAAAACAACAGTACATAAAAAACCGTTATATTTTTTACTCAAATTATTAATAATATTGAACTTTTGAAATTTCTTTTTTTGTTTGCAAGTTCAATAAATAGAATCTCTAATAATTACTAATTATAAAACATAACTTTATATGGGTAACCATTGTTGTTAAATATTGTATTTATATTTAAAATTTTTAATGTATCTTACAATCATAAAGTTCAATTTTCCCATAGGTCATTAATCAAGTTGGAATATTGGTTAGTGAACTGTGCCGTACATATTGTTTATCTGAACCGTCCGAGTTACAAAGACTGATACAAATGCCTTCCAGTTCTGGGGCATCAACTTCTACCTCCTGCTCTAGTAAACTTACAGATGAAGAAGATGACGACGATGATGAAGAAGAGGAAGTTGAAGAATATATTCAACTTGAAATGGAAGAATCTACCCCTGAATCTACCAAAAAACAAGTCAGTAGTGTACATTGTGTTTTGATTTATTATAAATTTGTTCCATTTTATAAATTTTTTTTAATCATGATTATGGGAAATTAAGGTTGATGATATGGAAATTCAACACTTGGAAACTTTAGAAAGATTACGTCAAAACCAACGCCAGGATTACTTAAAAGGGGCTGTAACTGGATCTGTTCAAGCTACTGATCGTCTTATGAAAGAGCTTAGAGATATATACAGATCTGATAGTTTCAAGAAAGGTAATAAATAGTTTGATTTCGTTTATAWATTTAATAGGTAATATAACAATATTACCTATTAAATTAAGTAATTTGTTTAAGAAAAAGTGTTACATCAATTTATTTTTTGTCCCACAAATATATAACTTAGTTACGCATATGTGTTTTATACAAACAGTCAGTTATGGAATTAAGTACTTTTATTTCATATATTATTTGTTATTATTGACAGTTAAGAGCTTTTGACTAGAACATTTATGTAAAACTAGATAATTATTAAAAAATAATATTACAATGTACACAAAGAACATATTTGTTTGACTTGTTTGTCATTGAGTCACTGTTAATTTTGAATTCAATGATTTATTATTGAATACAAAAAAAAAATTTAAGTGAAGTATAATATATTATGTTAGTTGTTTTAGGCATTTTGTTGACTATTGATATGATGAAAAGTATACTAATTCTATGCTTCTGTAAATTTTTTGATTTATCTGCGTTTTTAAGAAATTGAATCATTTTTTTAAGTTTGAGAGATCATAAGTTCTTTAGTTTGGTGATCATTAATCGTCCTAGGACCTGGGATTCAGTCCAAAATGTCACAATAGACTCATTATTCATTATTAAATTTGACATTGTAGTTATTTTTATTGTTTATATTAAATATCATTAAATACATTATGCACAATTACTTATTCATGTATGAAGTAAAATTCTATATAAATATAACAAGTTACAAGTAATGTTATACTAAATTAATTTAAAAACTGAACTTTAAACCACTGGCAGTGTGTATAATATAAACTGTTGTATATATTAACAGATTATAAATGTTATTTAAGATTAAAAAATATTTTAAATTATATGCATTATAGACAATAAATAGTGACTTGTGATAGATAAAAACTATGAATTGATGTTCCATATCTTTTTAACTGTTGAATAAATATTTTGTATACAAATAATAAATAATTATAATTATTTAGGAATGTATAGTGTGGAACTAGTTTGCGACAGCATCTATGAATGGAATATAAAATTAATGACAGTTGATCCAGATTCTTCTTTATACCATGATTTGCAAAAGTTAAAGGAGAAAGAAGGAAAAGACTTTGTGCTATTAAATATTACATTCAAAGAGACATATCCCTTTGAGCCACCATTTGTGCGCGTAGTTCACCCCATTATACAAGGCGGCTATGTCCTAGTTGGGGGTGCAATATGCATGGAATTGCTGACCAAACAAGGGTGGAGCTCAGCATATACCGTTGAAGCTGTAATTATGCAAATAGCAGCTACTTTGGTTAAAGGAAAAGCAAGAATACAGTTTGGTGTTCCAAAAACAATGAACCAGGTATCCCATGCAACATATCCAGTAGTATGTAAAAGTCTATTAAAATTAATACTTAGTATACAGTTAAATAATATAGATGCTTAACAACCATATTTAATAATTATTATTTTTATTTTAGGGTCAGTACTCTCTAGCCAGAGCACAGCAATCTTTTAAATCTCTTGTGCAAATACATGAAAAAAATGGTAAAATATGTTAATTCTTAAAATAATTTTTGTTTTTTATTGTGTTTGAAGGTTTTATTGTTTATTCTGAATACCAAAACTAATGATTTTTCATTTCTTTTTAGGTTGGTTTACCCCTCCAAAAGAAGATGGTTAAACAAAAGTCTACACAACCTAAACTTTTCATTCCTAAAAAAAACCTAATAAAGTACATGTCTCATTTGTAATAAAAATAAAACAATGTCTATCTTGTTTACAGTATAATATTTACGTTACTTTTATTATTTTGTTTAGTTTCTTTGTATAATTCTAGAAAATATAACTTTTATACTTGTCAATTTGGTAACCTAATTATATCCAAATTTTGAATACTGTTCCGGCTGCCAGCCAGGCTATTTTACCCGTGACATTTTTTTACTGACATAAGTCAAACATAAATACATGGGTTATTATAATA